AACCGGTGCAATAGCTCAATTGGTAATAGTGCTCGCTTTGTAACCGGGAGGTCGTGAGTTCAAACCCCGGCCGGGTCATACCAAAGACTTTAAAAATGGTACACACTTCTTTCTCTGCTTAGCACTCAGCACATGAGAAAGAATGTGGGAAGGTCAAACACACAGCACTACCAGCGGACTAGCCCCCTGCTGTAGTGCATTGCACAATTGTGTGTCGCCCAAGGGCTACGAAATGGAGATGGGCACCACCCTTCGCTCGGGCAAGAGCACGGGAGACATTCTTCTTCTTCTACCAAAAAGATACCAGTATGAAAGAAAAAAGGCCTAAAAAGCCAAAAACACGTCAAAAATAAGACTGAGAGTAGTCGCTCAGCAAAAGGAGGGAAAAGGAGTTTTGCAAGTGTGCGTTTGGAACAATTCCGCAGTGCAGCGGCAATACAAAGGGATAATAGCAGACACATCCAAGGTTAGACATTCAGGTAATAAGGTACATACGAAATTCCTACACAACCACGTTATTAAACGAGTCAGTTCGCTCCTTCTGGTACCTCCATGAAAAATGGAGGTACCAGAAGGAGCAAACTGACTCGTTTAATGAAAAATGGAGGTAAAGTTTTTGGCGTGTCTGTGTGTGTGTGAGTGACTGTTTGTGTTTCCGAACATTTGCAGTCAGCATAACTTCATAACGCCTTTATTGATTGTGACGATATTTGGTATGTTGGTAGGTCGAAGGAAGACAAAGGTCAAGGTCAAACATGGGCCTCCTGTTTGCTGACCTTGGTACTGCAACAGAACTTCTTTTTTTAATCTTTTGACCTGAACATGCTGAGGTCTTGGATTTTTGCTGACAGATAGCTTTCCTGTCAGGAATAAGTGGTGTGGGTTTTGTCCCCCCTAGCATCTTGTTCTGAAACTGAAGCGCCTTTTCTGGCGAAATCTTTTAAAGCAGATACGTTGAGAAAGGAACAACATATTTTGATCATTGTTGGTATGTTGGTAATTTATAGAGAGATGTTCATAAACAAATGTATATTATGCAAATGAAGATCTAATTTGCACAATTAAGGAGGAAATTATGTAATTACAGTGTTTTACATAATAGAACTTCCATACATGTAATGCATGTAATCTACGGCAAGTTGAACGTCAACAGATACCAATTATGAAAATAAGCACCTAATTTGTATACGTAATTTGAAAATTCTGTGATTTCCTAATGGTCAATGATGGGCTTTTTACACCTTGTGACATATGTAAGTTATTTAAAATTTAATATCACTATGCACATATGTTAATATATAGGTCATTTGCACGATTAACATGTTGACTTGGAAAGATAGGAATTTCACAGGCAAAATATTGTTTTTATGTAAAACCATAAAGTTATGTAGATCATGGTAATCATGACCGTATCTCCATAATCAATGAGACAAATCCCCCAAACACATTTACATTAACTCTACATATTGCACGGAGGTATGATATCTCCGAATTCTTGTTTTTTTAAGTTCGCTTCACTTTTGCAATATTTATACATGACACAACAAGCTCAATTTTCCTTGTCTTTCTTTTTCTGAATACAGTTAACCTGAGCATTCTCTCTCAGGAGGTGATGACGCTTTCACAACGACTAACCAAGCTGGAGCGTAAGTAGTGTGTCCTTAGGCTAGGTACTAATAGTATCCTTTTTATCATGCTCGGCCATGGACCTCCGGTATGAAGTTATGCGGAAATAGTCGTCTGAAGCCAAAAGTTGACTATGCGCTCAGGCGACCGCCCTTAGCGGGCGCCCATTCCCACCCCGAGCAAAACCCGGATAGAATGACGTTATGCTGGTATTGCATTGTGGGTGATGACGTCATACCTTCCGGTCCAATAGCCGAGCATGACAAATAGTGGGATTTACCACGCTAGCATGAGCGAACGCAGGCCACTCAAACCTCACACAGCTAACACATACCAGTGTTCTTGCGCACCGCACCAAAAATTACCATGACAACATAACATTAGCATTACACACACGCAAAATATGCTGTGAGAGGTATGAGCGAGCACGTGGCACCTGGCTAAGTGGTCCGCCGAATTGATAATTCCATCAACCGAGCAGCAAACAACTGTAAAAGAAGAAAAAAGGAAACACGACCACAGAAAACTAGCCCGAGCTCGGAACACTCGGACGAGGTCTGCCACTGGGGGAGCCTAAACAAACAGGGTCGATGAGACTACAATCGACTGAAAACGCCAAAGGAAAAAATTACAAGAAATCTGAACGAAAATCAAAAAAAGGACCGTCAAATATATTAAAATCCTGCAACCGCCGCCTGGTCCTGCTAGAACTGGGCGTCCCTGATTTGCCCACGGCGAGGATTGCAACGGATTGCGATCCCTCTTTCCGGAGGACGACTGGAGCAGCCATCTTGCATCTCTGGGCTGGTCGCTTCGACCGCACCTGAAAACTGTTGAATGGAAGGCAAAACTAAAAAAATTACATAACACCGGCGTAGTTCCTGGTCTAAATTCTTCGTCCCCGCTGACAGAAAACGTTTCTAGCTTTCCCCTGCGAAGGATGGCAATGGATTCTATCCTGCCAAGAGACAAACCTCTCCATGGCCAGACTCGTCTCGTAGGCATCCATCCTTCTTGCTCCTTTAAAACATACATCCAAGGACAATATTAGCCGAACAAGTTATAAAACAAAACACATACAACAAAAACTATGTCTAAACTCCGTCGGTAGCTCTCCTACGGCACCCAAACCTGCTCTGCCACAGCACGGCGCTCTACCGGCTCAACGCCGCGGTAGCCACGGTCTCCCCGCACGAACAGTCCCGCCGGAATCCGGGGTGCCTCGCCTCGACGGGTTTTGCTGGGGTGGAGGGGCTTGATGAGCGTAGGCCAGACGTGGACGTGGAACCGGGCCTGACCCGGATAGAATGACGTCATGCTGGTATTGCACTGTGGGTGATGACGTCATACCTTCCGGTCCAATAGCCGAGCATGACAAATAGTATCTGTATTGGTATAGCCAGTATAACCGCCCTTCGGCGTAACACACCAGCCTCTGTATCTGTATAGCCGGTATAACCGCCTTTCGGCGTAACACACCAGCTTCTGTATCTGTATAGCCGGTATAACCGCCTTTCGGCGTAACACACCAGCTTCTGTATCTGTATAGCCGGTATAACAGCCTTTCGGCGTAACACACCAGTTTCTGTGTCTGTATAGCCGGTATAGCCGCCTTTCGGCGTGACACACCAGCTTCTGTATCTGTATAGCCGGTATAACCGCCTTTCGGCGTAACACACCAGCCTCTGTACCTGTATAGCCGGTATATCCGCCTTACGGCGTAACACACCAGTTTCTCAGGCACGCGGCGCGGCTACTGATAATGCCCCCACTGCACTTGGTGACAGCGAGTTCCACATCTGCGATACCACACCAACACCTCAATCCTTAGTTACCTTCGCCAAGAATTGGAGAAGGTTATGTTTTCATGGCCGTGTGTGTGTGTGTGTGTGTGTCTGTCTGTCTGTCTGTCTGTCAACAGCATAACTCAAGAAAGCTTAGATGGATTATCTTGATATTTGGTAGGTGGGTAGGTCTTGATGAGAGCTCGAACTGATTAGATTTTGGGCCCCCTGGCGGCTTCTTATGGTACTGCAGCTGAACTTCCGGTTTTGATATCTCATGATCTAGACATGCTAGGGTGACGAAAATTAAATGGTAGGTAGCTCTTGTGCTGGGGAAGAAGTGACGTCAGTTTGCGCCCCCTAGCGGCTTGCTCTGGAACTGCAGGGCTATCTGTTTTAAAATATCAAAAAAAGCATAACTCAAGAACCGGTTGACGGATCGTCGTGATTTTTGGTATGTAGGTAGCTTTCATGATGCTTGATATAATTATATGACAATTATGCAAATATGGATGTGATTTGCATAATTTATGGGGAGATTCTATAAACCAGCTGCATTCCATGATAAGACTATTGAAGCTTGTGCGATTGGTAATTGAGAAGGAGAGAAACACAGGCAGATATTGATTATGTATATGAGGACATAATTTGCATAATTAATGAGAAAATGTTATAATTCTGTAATGATGACTGCCTGGAATTTTTATACATGTGGTATGTGAAAGTTCAGTGAAGGTAAACATCATTTAACATAATATATTCAAATCAGGACCTTATTTGCATAATTTATGAGGAAACAATAGAATGGCACAATAATTTGTCAGCCATAAAGATTAACATCATTTGGCGAAGGTATGAGATCGAGGAACTCTAGTTAATAACTCTGCCAGTACTTGCAGGCATGACTATATTACCATTACATAGTACACATCTTGAACCTCAACTCTGTACCATTTATTGGGAATTTCATGATTTTTATTAATTCTTTTGTTTTAGGAACTCTGTACAATTTATAGATCACTTTGTGATAGGAGTTTAACTAATTCTTTTTATTATTTCAGGAACTGATGTCTGCCTGGAACACCAGCGTTGCAGTGACCATGACAGGCCGACTCTCTCCCCAGAGGCGGTGACAGCAGCCTTAACCACTACCGCGGAGTCATATGGAGGTGCACAAGATAACAACACAGCACTTTCTATATTTGCTATGCCATATTTCTCTTGACTTCACCCGTAATCAATGCAATCAAGCAGAAGCTTACACACCCTTTGAGGAAGCCCCCAAAACTGCGCTTAATTAGGACATTTTGACTTGAAATATTGCCGAAAGATAGGAATTTCATAAGCAAAATATTGTAATTTAAGTTTGCAAAACCATGATTATGGTAATCATGATCTTTCCATAATCAATGAGACAAATCACGCAAAACATTTACATAAACTCTACATATTCTAATAACTCTCCGAATTTATTATTTTTTTCAAGTTCACTCCGATTTTGCAATATTCATACATGACACAGCAAGCTCAATATCCTTCTCTTTTCTTTTTCTGAATACAGTTAACCTGAGCATTCTCTCTCAGGAGGTGATGACGCTTTCACGACGAGTAACCAAGCTGGAGCGTAAGTAGTGTGTCCTTAGGCTAGGTACTAATAGTATCTGTATCGGTATAGCCGGTATAACCGCCCTTTGGCGTAACACACAAGCTTCTGTATCTGTATAGCCGGTATAACTGCCCTTTGACGTAACACACAAGCCTCTGTATCTGTATAGCCGGTATAACCGCCCTTCGGCGTAACACACCAGCCTCTGTATCTGTATAGCCGGTATAACCACCCTTTGGCGTAACACATAAGCCTCTGTATCTGTATAGCCGGTATAACCACCCTTTGGCGTAACAAACAAGCTTCTGTATCTGTATTGCCGATATAACCGCCTTCCGGCGTGGCACACTAGCTTCTGTATCTGCCTTTGTATGGTCGGTATAACCGCCTTTCGGCGTAACACACCAGCTTCACAGGCACGCGGCGCAGCTACTGATAATGCCCCTACTGTACTTGGTGACAGCGAGTTCCACTCTTCGAAAGTTCTAGAAAAGATGAGTTTTTGAACACCTCAATCCTCGGTTGATAACTCTGCCGGTACTAGCATGTACTTGACTATATTACCATTACATAGTACACATTTATCGGCAATTGTATGATTTTTACTAAGGCCACACTGACTTAATTTTATGGATGACATCCGAGCGCGCATTGAATTTTGCCCGTTCTCAAAAAAAAAAAGAGAAAAAGAAAAAAGATCACGTCCACCGAGGCTCTGGCCTGGCTCTAGGCCTTGATAGTCCATGGTAGTTAGCGACAATATGAAGTCGGGCACCCAGGCTACTGAAGCTCCACAACTCAAGAACCCAGAACATACGTACAGTGGGGATTAATAAATTCCGCAAAAAGCCAGCATGTGCCGGCTTGTCATATACGTCGCTATGTACTGCCGGAAATTCACAATACCAGCTTTATATTCCTATGGTTTTATAGCATTTTTATTTTTGGCCGGAATTTTTTTTTATTCGCCCGCGCTCACTAATTCGGGGGTCTTCAGAGGACGTCATCCATAAAATTAAGACGGCGTGGCCTAATTATTTTGTTTTTATTTATTCTTATGTTTCAGGAACTCTGTACCATTTATCGATTACTTTGTGATAGGAGTTTTACTAATTCGTTTTATTGTCACTTATTATTTCAGGAACTGATGTCTGCCTCGAACACCAGCGTTGCAGTGACCATGACAGGCCGACTCTCTCCACAGAGGCGCTGACAGCAGCCTTAACCACTACCGCGGAGTCATATGGAGGTGCACAAGGTAACAACACAGCACTCTCTATATTGGGTATGCCATATTTCTCTTGACTTCACCTATAATCAATGCAATCAAGCAGAAGCTTACACACACTTCGAGCAAAACCCCAAAATTGTGCTGTCGCTGATATCAACGTCACATCGCACACACGTGCATATACGTGCACACATACATACACAACACACGTGCGCGCGCGCACACACACACACGCGCGCGCGCGCGCACACACACACGCAAACAACTCACGAACAAAACACACACACACACACACAAACAACACACACACACATACATACACACAAAAATACACATAACAAATAAACGACACACGCACACACGCACACACACACACACACACAAACACACACACACACACACACAGACACACACAGACATACACACACTGTAGACGTAACCCGTCTATCAAAAATGTGACTCCGTCCCCTGCTACTTGCCGTTTCCCAGAGGCAGACTGTGCTGCATATAAAGCCGCTGGGTACACGACCAGTGGAGTCTACACACTTGGCTCTCCCCTGTCCGGTGTAACGGTCTACTGTGACATGGATACAGCAGGTAGATATTATTTTGAGGCACATCGATACCATTAATATACATAGGTTTGTTGTGAATATACATTGTTAAATGTGTTACCTTTAGCGCACTGAAGTTGTTTGGCTGGCTCTCTATTGGCAATGGTAAAAGTTAAGGTTTTAGTTCCTCAAACGGCATCACACAAAGTGTGTTGTGCACTCCACGGGCCCAGGCAAGATACTGGTCCCACTCTCATGCCCGAGTACCCGGGTACAACCTACACAAAACTAAAACATAGAAATACAAAAGCCACACCAGGTCTCTTATTTTAATGGACATCCCGATTCAATCAATCTCGTTCTGAAAACGAACACCTTCTACGGTGTTTTCATGTAAAAACTCTTTCATGGCCTACAAAGTAATGATGATTTTTTGTGCACAGGCCTGGGCGGCTGGACTGTGATCCAACGTCGACTGGACGGGTCGGTTGACTTCCGAAAGAACTGGGAGGAGTACAAACACGGTTTTGGGAACAAAAACACGGAGTACTGGCTTGGGAACGAGAACATCCACCGGCTGACTGCTTTGATGAGCTATACGCTCCGGGTTGAGCTGATGGACTGGGAAAATCAGACACGCTACGCGGACTACAACACATTTAGGTTGGTACTCCTCCTTCTAGTGAGACTTCTTTAGAAAAAAAAAACATTGTTAAGACGTCACTTGGAATCCGGAAATACATGAAGTGCGCAGAAAAGCCTCTCTTTAAAACTAGTAGTACTTCTGTTAGTCATTAAAGTCATTACGCATAACTTAGGGAAATGTTGTCATTTGCATCAGCAAAAATAACGTTGCCTAAGGCGAGGACTTTCACACATACATCTGATTTTAGTAGAGAAGACCATAACTTAAAATAGATTATACCAAATCAAAAGACATTTTCATCATCAAAAAGACAAAACAACAAAATCAAAATGACACACCAAATTTACATTAAAAGTATTTCATGGAGGTATGAGATCACCGAACTCTAGTTTGTTTTACAAACAGGTCAGCATTACGTGGTGATGATTTGATGTTCCCCTTCAGGGTGTCCGGTGAGTCGGACCAGTACCGGCTGACCGTTTCCGGGTATTCAGGCACAGCGGGGGACTCCATGAGTGTTAACAACGGGATGAAGTTCTCCACTGTGGACAGGGACAACGATAAGTGGGGTTACGGCGAGTGTTCTCAGGTTAACGGAAAGGGTGGCTGGTGGTTTAACAACTGCAGCCATTCCTTCCTCAATGGGCGCTACTTGGGCAAATGTAGGAAGTCATGTGAAGCATGGGAAGGTGTGGTGTGGAAGACCTGGAAAGGAAAGCATTACTCCCTCATGTCTGTGTCTATGAAAATCAGGCCACGATAATTGCATTTGCTGCACTAAATCTGATCACACCCGGCTATTCACAAAATCATTAATCTTGTAATGCTGACAAGTAAGGCGCGTAGGGGCTTTGTCTGTTACAAACTTACACCAGAATGAGTCAATTTGAATGTATCAGTGAGGAAGATATTCTTGTGAAGCGGGGACCTCCTCCAGCTAACTAGAGAAGTGTTCAGATATTGGTTATATGGGCTAGATTGTTCAATATGAATTTTGGGTACTGGGTACAAGTGACAATACTGTATAATCATCAAATGGAGGTAGCTTATTTTGACTTCATATTGATGCTCTTCATGTGGCGTGTCATTTAATGTAGGATTTCAGAACTGTTGTTTGGTACAACTGTTTAACAAAAGCTTTGCCAGACAACTTAAGGTGTCAAATATTATCTTTTTTCATGTATATGTATATGTATATCTGTGTTATCATCTATTTCCAACATAGTAGAGCTACAGCATCTCAATGACAGTTCTGTATGTCCCTTTCTGCTTCAAGGGTCCACATCACTTTCATATGTAACAAAAAGAAATGTCTTTGATGTAGTTCAAAACTTTATTTACTGTACGGCAGATTCTCGTAAGTGATAGATCACCAACCTGGCTTGTTTATACTCATTTTTCTTTTACCCACTTTGTAATTATCTTCGCCAAGAAGGTTATGTTTTCAGTAGCGTTTGTCTGTGTGTGTGTGTGTGTGTGTGTGTGTGTGTGTGTGTGTTTGTTTGTGTGTGTGTGTGTGTGGTTTAGCATAATAACTCGAGAAGCAGTGGATGGATTGGAATGAATCTTGGTACGTGGGTAGGTCTTTATGACACCTAGAAATGATTAGATTTTGGGCCCCCTGGCGGCTTTCCTAAGTACTGCAACAGAAGTTTTGATATCTCATGATCTGGACATGGTAGGGTCACGAATTTTTAATGGCAGATAGATCTTAGGAAAGGGAAGAAGTGGCATGAGTTTGGGTCCCCTAGCGCCTTGTTCTGGAACTGCAGGAGCATTTGTTGAAAAATTTTCTTGATAACGAGAAAACATCTGAGGATATAGATTATGTAAATGAGGACCTAATTTGCATAATAAATGACAATTGTTTATAATATCATAGTTGTAACTGCTGGGAATTTCATACTTGCCACATTTGGAAGTTAAGTGAAGGTGAACACATCAATAAACATAATTTGCATAATTTATGAGGAAGTGCTATAATAGCCTTTTCGTTAAGATAAGGCCGTCATTGGGTGGAGAATATGATCAACTGATATAAACCATGCAAATGAGGCTCTTATTTACAAAATCAATGATTAAAATTGTATAATTCGTCAACCGCAAGGGTTACAGTAACATCATTTGGCGAAGGTATGCGTTCGAGGAACTCTTGTTATGTATGAATTTTGTCATTGTGTTTTACTCTCGTTTTATGTTTTTGAGTGGAAGGTGCCATATAAGCAATCTCTGCCTCTTGCCTAATAATAAATATATGTGGATAAATAAAAAGTGTCTGACTGCAGATATCTATATTTTATACGTTGAAAATGTCAACTGAAGTAGCTTGGATAGTAGGCGTGTCTAGAAATATGCCTTGTAATTGTGGTGTCAATTTGGTGGTTGATCCAAAAGTTCTCGGCCTTACTTAGAAGAAAGAGGTAAAACTCCCTTTCTGGGAGTATGACATTTTACATCACTGCCCACAGAAATGCAAATTGACAAGAAAACTAAGCAAAGCTGAATCATAAGCTAAAAGTAAACCGTATCAAACTTTGTGGATTCTCTCGTATCATGTTACCCTCAAAAAGAAGATTTCAGAGAAAGCTGTACCGAACAGATGCGCATAGAGGTCAACGGTACGACTGTATGAACGAACACGTGTTTTGAACACGAATCATGTTCCATCATCTGTGATCTGACGCCACTAAAACAGAAATCGTGTTCCAATTTGGGTCACCGACGGTTATTTGTATATTTTCTCGGTAAATCAGCATTGTAACGCCCTTTATCCACGGGTTATGGCTTTTACGTAGCCTCCGTCGCAGTCTTGTTGGGCGTCGGCGTTATTTTTTCTCTGAACTTGTTGGAGCGCGAAACCTTCTCTCCGTGGCAAAAACTCCCTCGGCAGCAAATCGTCCCTCGCGGCCGCATATTACTCGCGTCGCGCAGAGAAAAAATAATGCCGACTCCCAACAAGACTGCGAAGGAGGCTAGCTTTTACGGCTTTACCCGTAGCTCAAAACAACAGAATTGATCTTTAGAATAATTATTTTTACTTATTTTAGCCTTCTTATCAAAATTGTCAAAAGCTTAGATTTTTTAACTGGGGCGAATTTTCTACAAAAAATGGCAAAATTAGCTGTTTCTGA